GTTTAAAGAACAAAGTATGGTCCCCTTGGCTTTGTTTGTAACCCAGACCTGTCATAACTTTAGTAAACCTGCCAAACCATACACGGGAGGACTGTTTTAGCCCATATAATGCCTTTTTTAAGTTGCAAACAGTGTTGGCAACAACATCTTTACCATATCCCGGAGGTATCTCCATATAAATTTCTTCTTCAAAGTCTCCATGTAAGAAAGCATTCTTAACATCAAATTGTTCCAAGTTCCAACCATAATTGGCAGCAAGGGACAATATCACCCTAACTGTGTTCATTTTGGCAACGGAGCAAAGGTCTCCAAATAATCAACTCCATAGGTTTGGGTGAACCCTTTGGCAACTAGTCTTGCCTTATATCTCTCAATTGATCCATCAGCCTTATATTTTACTGTATAGACCCACTTACATCCAACTGACCTCTTTCCTATTAGTAAGGTGACTAACTCCCAGGTGTTGTTCTTCTCCAATGCCTCCATCTCTACATCCATGACTTGCCTTCATTTTCTGTCAGACAATGCCTTAGATAGGGTATTAGGTAGAAGTGTAGTGTTTAGGTACTAGAAAGGTTTTATGGGTAGGAGAGAAATTTTTAAAGGACAGGTAATTTGAGAGAGGGTAGAGTGGTTGTTTGGTGCATTTTATTGTCCCTTTTTTAATGGCAATTGGGAGGTCAGGATCATTTTGGGTTTCAATTTCAACCTGCACAGCTGGAGAAAAAATTGTTACCTCTTTTTGTGGAGTCGAGTTGGATTCTTGAACATGGTTTGATCTTGGAATGACCTTAGTCTTCCTTGAGTACACCAGCTTCTTACCAAATTTTCCAGCTTCAACATCTCCTTGATCAGCTTCATAATTAATTTCACTTTCTTGACCAACTTCCTTTTCTTGACAAATTCCTTGACTTGTTACAACTTCAATTTGATCTCGTTTAGGTTTAAATATCAAGTCTGGAAGAATGTTACTTTCAATTTGATCTCGTTTAGGTTCAAATATCAAGTCTGGAAGAATGGGAAAACCAGAATTACTACTTTCCTTATCTTCCTTGAAACTCTTCCCCTGAAGATAAGGTTGATGGAAATAGCCTTCTTGTTCTTTTAAGGTAACATCCCTAGACACAAAGACTTATTTGGATGGGGGTGATAGCATTTATATCCTCTCTGAGTGGGTGAGTAACCAACAAAGACACACTTTAAAGCTCTAGGATCAAGTTTCCCCCTGTCTATACTATGAATATGGACATATGAGATACACCCAAAAACTCTTGGTTTAAGATTATTTGTAGTGGACAGGTTTGGATAGAAAGACGACAAAGCTTCCATAGGGCTTTTTGATCCTAAGACTCTAAAGGATAGTCTATTGATAAGGTATGTTGCTGTAAGGATAGCTTCCCCCCAGAAATTTTTTGGGACATTTTTTTGGAACAACAATGTCCGATTCTGATTTAATAGATGTCCATTTTTCCTCTCTGCGACCCCATTCTGCTGTGGTGTTTTGACACAAGAGGACTCATGAATTATACCTTCTTTTTGACAAAAAGAATTAAGGACATGATTGAAGTAATCTTTGGCATTATCTGACCTAAGCTTCTTAATATTAACACCAAACTGATTTTTTTATTAAGGAGTGGAAGGTTAGGAAGATAGAACTGACTTCTGATTTTTGTTTAAGTAGGAAAACTCAAGTGACCTTTGTACAATCATCTATAAAGGTGATAAACCATCGATCACCAGACACATTTGGAACATTAGAAGGTCCCCATACATCAGTATGAACAAGATAAAAAGGAAAATTGCTAATTCTATTACTTATTGGAAAAGATACACGCTTGTGTTTAGCAAGTTCACACATCTCACAATGAAGACTCTCAACATCTAACTTGGTAAACAGAGAGGGAAACATAATTTTGATCACTTCAAAAGAGGGATGTCCCAATCGACAATGATAAAGCATGATTTTTTCTCTGTTGGTCATTAAGGATTCAAATATGAAGGAGTGAGAGATTCTGTTATTGCTGGACAGACTTGGATCTTCGAGATAATAAAGGTCATTCCATTCTCTAGTATGTCCAATCATCCTCCCCAAGTCCTTGTCTTGAAATACACAATCATCGTTGAAAAAAACAACTTTACATGACAAATCCTTTATAAGTTTTTGTATAGAGACTAGGTTGGTGGACAACTTTGGGACATGGAGAACATCTTTTAAGGTTATTAAAGGATTGATTTGGATATTTCCTTGACCAGCTATAGTTATAAGGGTTCCATCTGCTGTGACAATTTTCTTGTTGCTGGGACATGGGGAATATGTGGAGAAGTGTTTGGCTAATGGTGTCATGTGGTCTGTGGCTCCAGAGTCCAATATCCAATAATGGTTAAAAGGTGTATCTGAGACATTTAATCCAAAAGAAAGTGGAAACTTACCTGAGTATGCCAAAGAACACACTTGTAGGTTTTTCCAGCTTACTAAGAAAGGTTCTCACCCTTTCTATCTCCTCTTGGTTAAGATGGGCAACAGCTTCTGGATTATTTTCTTCATTTGTTTCAGCACCTTTCCTTAAGGAGCCTCCTCTGTGTCCCCCTTCTCGATCTCGATTTAAAGGCTTCCCATGTAACTTCCAGCACTTCTCTCGGGTATGACGAGGCTTATTGCAGTAGGTACACCAGAGACCATCACCTTTCTTCTCCATATTTGCTGATCCTCCTTTCTTCTGTTCGGCTACCCCCTTTCTATTCAACACTGTACGAAAAAGTTGGGCCCACTTTAAATAATTTCTTCCATTTAATCTATATGCAGAATAAATATTCTGCAGTTCTCCAGATTGTTGGGATTGGGTATTCCCTGTTTCTGGGGTTGGGTTCACAACTTCCTCTTCCCTTGACATTATAGCAAGAAGATGCGATGCAGCAGCAATGCAGACTATCGTCTATGGGTTAAAAAAAGTTAAGAAAAATGCAGCAGCAATACAGGCTGCCGTCTTAGGGTTAAGAAAAAAATGCAGCAGCAATACAGGCTGCGGTCTTAAGGTTTAAAGTGCGCAGACAGAACTTCCTAGATCGGAAGCTCTGATACCATCTGGAAAATTAGATTAAATGAAATTTTATTTTATTATTTTAATACAAAGAGATCATACAAGATATATACAGGAGACCTAAGCTATTTTAAGAAATATAATAACTCTATTTTATTCTAAGATCCCTTGATTTATGAGATTGTTCCTAATTGTTCAAATCTATACAGATTACAAATTTCCTAATTTATTCTTTCCTAAAATACTATTTGATTTCCCACACATTTGTAGGAGGATATTCAAGTATCTTCAGGACTTCCAAAAGAATAACAAGTGTGGTGTATTGGGAAGGGATGAAAACCGACATCAAGAATTTCGTTGCTGCTTGCGAAGTTTGTCAAAAGAAACAAAAGTCACAACTTATCTCCAATAGGACTGCTACAGTCATTACCAATCCCCACTCAAGTATGGACAGATATTTCTATGGCTTTTATTGGAGGACTGCTTCCAAATCCATGGGAAAGATACAATCCTAGTGGTGGTTTGACCGACTCACTAAATTTGGCCACTTCATACCATTAGGGCACCCCTTCACTATTATCGAAGTTGCTACAGTATTTCTACAAGAAATTGTGATATTGTATGGATTTCCGTCTTCCATTGTTTCATATCGTGACCCTCTATTTTTAAGCAATTTCTGGAAAGTTATTTTTAAAGCAGCAAGTACATAGTTAAAATTAAGTTTAGTATAGATTACCCAAACTGACAGATAGACGGAAGTTGTCAACCAATGTTTGGAGGTTTAGTTGCGATGTTTAATTGGAACAAAGCCTGAGAAATGCATCTCTTGTCTTTCTTGGGCCGAATTTTGGTTTAACACCAACTATAATGCTTCCAGCAAAAATGCCCCATTCAAAGCTTTGTATGGACATGATCCCCCTCACATTCTTAAGGGAACCACCATTCCTTCCCGCCTTGAAAAAGTCAACAACCTTACAATTGCTCAAGATGAATTATTGGCTACTCCAAGAAAGAATTTGCTAAAATCCCAACATGTCATATGAACAAATGTCAACAAATGCTGACGTAATATAGAATATGCAGTCGGTGATTGGGTGTTCTTGAAGATGTAACCTTATAGGAGAAGGTCCTTAGCTAAAAGGATTAATGAAAAACTCTCCCCTCAATTTTATGTTCCTTTCCAGGTTTTAAAAAAAAGTGGGTGTTCTTGGCTTACAAATTAGATCTTCCATCTCACAGGAAAATTCATCCCGTCTTTCATGTCTCTCTCCTCAAGAAGGCCATTGGTGATTCTTTCCCGGTCCAACCTTTACCACCTATGCTATTTGAGAATCAAGACTTACAGATTTTTCCAAACTTTGTTTTATATATTCGTGAACTACAACCTAGCAATGTGGAAGCCTTAATTCAATGGCAGAATCTCCCTTCGAGTGAAAATAGTTGGGAATCAGTAGCTAAAATACAAGAGGTTTTTCCAACTTATCACCTTGAAGACAAGGTGAGTCTTTTAGGAGAGTGTATTGATAAGAATAAACCACCTATCACCAAGATATACACCCGTAAGAAACAAACAAAAGTAGCAACAATCTTAGACCACACCAGGACACATAATATTCAAAGGATAACCCATCCTAAGGGTATAAAGTCAAGGGATGCGAATCAAAGGGCATAACCCTTGGATAGAGATACAACCATTAGGAAAAGTTGTATCAATTAGAAACGGTTGTTAGAAGCAATATAAATAGAAGTAATCCAGATTAGGAAACACACGAAGGAAATTAGAAAGGAATTGTATTGTGGAGAGACAGGTTCTCGAAAACTTGTGGTATAAAAATATCTCAAAATTATCTTTATAAATTCTATTCACTTTATTAATCCTATCGAGTTCTTTTTCTGTCCAAATCATATAAAAAGACATAAAAATGAAAATATCAATTACTTTGAAAATATCCAAATGAAAACTGTAGAGAAAAATGCCATACCACAATGGAGAATAGGGTGATGACAGATTAAGGAACGGGTATGGCCACCTGTAGAAATGTAGTTGTCACCATTTCTAGTATAACCATTGTGTGGAAAATTTGACATTCAAAGTAGTGCATAGCTTACCAAATCCAGGAGAAAGCATGGATAGTCCACTGAAAAATTACATATAAACTTGTCCATAACACGAAGAAAGACATTCCAAACCAGTGTATTGGCTGAAACATAGATTAAACTAATTCAAAATGTCTTATGCAGTAACCCCAAACAAGGATCTTAAAATATTATGAAAATATTCACCAGACTATTTAGAGCTGCATCTCCAAGGAGGAAAACAAGATTTAGAGTATGCATGTTCACTGTCATCTACATAAGATGCAGAACTGATCAGATTAGGAGATAAGTGGAGGAAAGAAGTAGTCTTCAACAACAACCAATGATATCTGTAGCATAATATCTTGCTTTATTAATTTTATAACAATCTATTTTACATGTGGTTATTATTTAATTCTGTAATTAAGAATTACGATCATCAATTGTTTCAAATTATTGACATAATGTATTTTTATATCGATAAATATTAGTTGATAGTATGCTAAATTTTTTGTAGCACAAACTCAAACCTATAATCTATCCCTTCCTCTTGAATTTTACCACCAAGTCAATTTGATATTCACAATCCACAGTGTATTTGTTGAGTGACACAAGATTTCAAATTCAATGTGAATCGGACCAAAGACAATTATTTTGATGTCTCCCATTGGAACAGAATATAATGACTTGGGATCAACAAAATGTCTGATGTGCAAGATTACAAGCATTATCATAAACCAAAATCTTTCTAAATCCCAACCCGCATAAAAACTGAGTTGTGATAAACACCTTTAAGATCTATCAATTGCTTGACCTAATTATGATACGAAAAGGATAGAAAGATCATACCCCAAGCTCAAACCTTTACGTTAGCAAAAAGTAAGGAAAGTCAAGAAACAATCAATTTTAGCACAAAGCAAGAAAGAAGAAAGTACCAACTAGGAATATTCAGAAGGTTTCTACTCACAAGGGTAAAATCGTAATCCTTCAGAGTAAGGAATGGAAATATAATTAACCAATAAACGCAATCTGTAAGCATCACCGCCCCTGCATTCATCTATTTAAAGACATTAAAAAAGCTCATTAAAATCAGGGGAAACTAATAAAACATTGTAGGCAACATGTATAGAAGTTAAATTCTTGACATTTTGTTGAAAAAGATATAAATTCCTATTCATAACCTAATATGTAATATTTTTATATATTATCTTCATCAAAATCAGATTTTAAACTTGTGCATGAACTAGTTTTAAATTATAGATAAAATGATTTCACTTTTTCATTTTTATCTCGTAAAAATGTTTGTTGATGAATTTACCCAAAACAACGTTACGCAAAAGTGATCTGACTTTTCATGCAATAAGGTCCAAAACTGCAAGTTTGGAAACACGTTGAACATATATTGAACTCAAAAGTAATAAAGCTTTCCTTCTCTTAACATACTTGCCAACGGATTTCTAAACACAGGCTTGGACTACATCCATTGCCAACCTTGCAAATGAATCTAAAGCAAAATCATGCATTTCAAGGAGAGAATAAGTATAAAAATTTAACATTGAAGATGCGAGACTTAAAAAGACATCAAAATGGTAAAGAGAGACACAAACATAAGAACTAAACAAACACATATAGAGAAAGCAAACAAGTAAAGATTGAAATTGATTTTGATTTGACAACAAATATGCGTATCTGCTTCTCCATAAACCTGTTGATTTCTTGTTGTTACCTGGAATAAATTTTGAAAAATATAACTCCCGATGGGTGTAATTCTATTCTTGTGTATTACATCATGGGGATCAGCAAGGTGTTCCATTCTAGACAGAATAGTAGTATCCTGGTGCAAGAGAGGCATGTATGGCCCTTGCTCTGCATCTGGTCTAACAGTACCAACATTAAAGATGGTGCTTGATCTGTTACGCTGGTAACACCCATACACTGATAGCATAGATGCACACTACAAAAAGACATTTCAGCTTGCAAGATCCAAATATGCTAAGACTTTGTCAAATCTTCTTCCTAAGTACTATATCTTTAACATATAAAGCATCATATGAATAGAATTATTTGATTAAAGACCTCTAATAAAAATTACAAGCCATACCCCAAAATAAATTGTAACCAAAGCGAAGGTCCACCTGCAAGCAATTCAAAATAACCATCATCAGAAATGTTTGAAGCTTGAAAACAATGAAATGAAACTGATAAAACTAGGACAGATAAACAACCATAAATGGCTTCAAATTCGTCTATAAAGCTTAAAGCAGACTTTTGCTACAAGACTTAATTAAATATTGAGAAATGTCAGAGAAAGGGAATACTTACTGAGTGTAATAATAAAATATGGAGCCACCATTAATACGCCATTTGAAAACTAGTGATGCCAAAAGAGAAGAGAATGCAATAATACGAAAAACTAGCAGACAAAATGGGTGAATTTCTTTCAGGCATGGTTTCCATGCTTCATCCCCAGACGAAGTTCCCTCTTGCTGATTTTCTCCTTTGCCATATGTGAATTTCCTCGAACGTATATCCTTCCATATTACAAGAAATGCAAAGACCATAGAGAGCAAAACACAAACTAAACACAAAAAGAACCTCCAATTTAACCAATAACTGAGGGTGGTTGTATCAGTGGCATCCTGCTGCGGCATCCTGATAGATAAACAATGACGCTAGTACTTAAGTTACAAACTTTTGTGTCCAAAATATTCCTTTTACTGCACTTTAATATTAGCTAGTTTCAACGATATCTCAAACTTAGTGTGTTTACAGCTAAAGTGCAATCTATTGATAAATCTCTAACAGTGTCACAATACTGTGATTTTTGAGGTCTCTATTGTTTCCAATGCAGTCACATATTGCTACAATTACCTGCGACCACTGTTATTAGAATTTAACTACAAATATAAACATTGGTTGATATATGTTATATATAGATCCCATATAATGCTGCATCAATAGATTCAAGGGATTATCATACTTCTACTCTTTTAGTGAAGGAATATTATAAAATGATCATAATCCAAGAATGTGTTCCCTGATCAAAAATCACTTACTGATAAAATCGTCATAACAGTGGAAATAAAAATGTAACTCTTATTTAAGTAACTATAATACAAAATTTGATTTCAAGAATTGGCACTGGCCAAGATTATGTGACCCCAATCTAAACAATAACACATCTTAGAGCTAGTTAAATTTGAAACCATCAGTGTCTTTCGCTATCGTTTTGCATATTCATGTGTACCCAGCAATGATACAATATACAGATGAACAAATAAAAATGCAACTATTTCCCTAAGTATGAAGCTAATTTCCCGCATAAGACAGCAATAACACATATTTCCATTAACAAAACATTACCAAAACAGACGGATTGAGCATGTAAAAAAGAAAGAAAAGTAATAGAAATTTGAATATGGACGTTAAAATGTAACAATTTTCCGAAACAGTTGAGAAAGAAAATTGGATATCACAAGCATGCAACCAAACTAAAGGGCCAAACGGAGAAGAGAGAACAAAATGAGTGAAGAGAGGGGATTGAAGATTAGAAACGTACGAGGAGATGGTATGGAGAAGAGGAATGGGGACAATGAAGAAACGTGGGAAGCGGTGAGTTGTGGTTTTGGAATGCCTTATTTTTGTGTTGGTGAAGGAACGTTTCAATTTTAAGAAATAAATAAATTAAATGGCCTTCATTTAATTCAACTAATGTGTGGATTGATCAAATGTTAATTATATTTTTTTTAGTACTTGCTTGACATATTTTTTGTTTTTTTTTACTATTAAAATTATTGTATTAAAAATTGGATTGATGTAATCGGTATAGCCAAAATTCCCACTAAAATCTAATTAAATAATCTGATTTCTAATAAACTGGGATAAATAAATAAAAAAATCGATTGGATTTTTTAATTAAATGTTAATAAAAAATAAAGCAAAACAAAACCTTTTATCAAATTTTTTAATATAATTTTTTTTATAAAAAAATATATATTTTTATCTTATATTAATTATGTTATTTTAAATTTATTTTATTTAATAATTATTTATTTTACATCTCCTAATATATTTTATATTAGTAATTTTTGTAAATGATAATAAATTTTATTATTTTTTTTATAAAAACATATTATTATTAATAAACTTATTATATATTTATTATATCATAAAATATTATTTTATTAAAATTTGTTAAATCCTTAAATCTGAATTTATATCTTTGCCCGTCATCGGTGATTAAAATATCTAATTATCTATTCTTTCGATTTAATATTTTTTTCACATTTTAATTTAAAAATATTTAAATAAAGTATATATATTATTCACATTTAATAACAGTCATTAATTCCACTTGATCAAAAAATATTATAAGTAAGTGAATTAGAGATACATTATTAATATTTTTTTCTATATATTTAAATTTTGAGCCAAAAAATTCGAGTTACATGCATTTTTTTTATGTATTTGGGAGCTTTGTTCAGTTTTTGAAATTTATTGTATAGTTAACAAAATTTTAAGAAGTGTTTAATTAATTTTAGATATGAGATTCATACAATTTTTTTTTTCAAATATGCTTAAATTTATGCTTTTAAATAATTTTATTTGATTATTCAAATTGATATATTTTTATATTTATACAATGTTATTTTTATTTGTCGCCGAATAAAAATAAGTTGGTAAGGAGTTACTTTAACGTGAAAAAAAATTATATATAAATTAGATTTAGCTCTAAAATAAATTAACTCGCGATCATTTTCTGATAAAAATAAAATCTAATTAGTGTTATATTTCCAATTAACATGAAAATAATTATCATTTATGGATCATTATATCATAATCATATGAACTTTGAGTCGACGTGAACTCGTTGTAGAAGCCCCATTGATTTGCTAGATTTGCCCACGTCATGCTGGGGCTTGGCATGCAGTGACACGTGGGATGTGAAATAAAGGTTTCCGATACCGAGCGAGAGTAACGTTGTTTTATCCTGTGTGTCGTCAACAAATGGATTTAGATCATAGATTGAATTGGATATAACTTAATAAAATAATAATTTAATAATATAATAAATTAATTAATAATATTTTTTTATAAAAATTAATAATAATAATATTTTAAGCATTCTCAAATCCTTTTAAAACGTGTAATTCCTTTTGGAAAAAAAAAAACACAAAACATTTGTACAGATAATATCCAACGTCTAGCTAATCAATTGACCTTCCTCAAACAAGTAGATAATAATATAATGTTCTTTATTACTAAAGTTCAATCAGCAGTTGAAGAATTAAAGATTTTCTTGGAGGAAAATTCAGTAGAAAACATAAAGAGTAAAATGGATAAATTTTATATGATTATGATTCTTCGAGCCATAAATCCAGATTTTCATCATGCCAAAGATAAAATCTTGATTGGTAAAGAAGTTTCTTCCATTGAAAGTTTTATTACACGACTTCTCTGGATTTTAACCCTCAAGAATAAAAATGTGTTAAGAACCAACTGAATCTTCTGTCATGATTTCTACTCACGAAAGTGAATATTGTGGTATTAGAGGAGAACGTGGTGGTAAAAGGCACCCTTAATGCACCTATTGCAAGAAAATGGATCATACCTTAGAAAATTATTTTTCTTTACATGGTTTCCTTGACAAAACTACACATATTTCTAAGACATAAATATTTGAGGTTGAAGTTCACCAGTCAAGCACAATCATCTACAACTCTAAATTCGTTAATAGTTTGCATTTTCCAATATGTGGATTGTGAAAATGGATCATTGACTCGAGTGTTTCGTATCATATGTTTGGTAATCCCAGATTATTCTCTTCTCTTTTTTTTCATAAAACTCCTCATTTCATAACTTTGACTAACAATTCAAAAGTAGTCTCTACAGAAATTGATCATATTTCCATTTCCCTGTCTTTAAACTTAAAATTGGTCCTCTTTGTTCCTTAATGTCTAGGGATGGCAAAACGGGTCAAGTTCGGCGGGCCAGCCCACCATAAAATGGTGGGGCGGGATGGTGTTTTCAGCCCACCAGCCCACTTTGGCCCGCCAAGCGCTCCAATCCGCCGGGCCAACCGGCGGGGACGGGGCGGGCTAGCCCACGACCCGCCTAATTAATAAAAAAATAATTTTTTATTATAATAAAATTAATTATAAAGATAATATATAAAGTTAAAATTTTTAAAAAGAGAATTAAAAAAGTTTCACTCTCCCGTAAAATATTCTTCTTACTAAACACACAAGTTTCTCTCTCTTGTTCTCCTTGTTCATCCTAAACACCGATTATTTTTATCTTTATAACTTGAATTAAAGGTGTAAGGATTACTCAACCAAGAATAATGTGAAGTTTTATCAAATAAAAAAGATATAGGTATTTAAATTTTTCAATATAAAAAATATAAATTTTATAAGTTTTAACGTTATATATATATATATATATATTGAATTATTGGCAAATAAATAATAATCTTATTATTAAATTTATTAAAAATTTTGATTTTAAAAAATAAATTATTTTTTTCTAAATTATGGCGGCCAGCTCGCTAACCCGCCCTTGACAGTGCGTGCCAAGGTTTACAACCCGTCATGACTATAACGGTCAGCTCGTCCGCCTCGCCCGCTTTTGGCGAGCCAAAGGCGGGGCGAGCCAAAACGGGACGAGCTGACCTGTTTTGTCATCCCTAATAATGTCCCTTTAGTCTCATTTCTTTAAGTCAACTAGCCAAATTATTAAACTGTTAAATAACATTTAATGTCAACTCTTTTATTATATAAAAACGTGATACATGTCGATTAAATTTGATTGAACTTCAATTAAAACGTGATTAAATATTTAAATCATAAATTTATGTTTTCATCGGTTTAATAACCAGCTCGATTTTAAAAATATTGTTTCTTTTACACAATTCATTAAATCTAAAGGTATATTGTGTTGAATTGATTGACTCATAAAATCTAATATCTTTACTTAGAATGAACACATTTCAAAAATGAGTTTCATGTCCATATTTCCATCGTGCTTGAGTCATTATCCTATGAACAAGATGCATATAAATTATATAAGAAAAATTAAGAACTTACCACTTTAATTGAATTTGAAATAAGTGTAACATAGAAGAATCTCCTGAATTTCTAAAAAATTTAAGATAGGAGTGTGTCACTCTTCTATCACAACACACTCTTAAATTGCAATTCAAAATTGTCATACACACATAGAATCTTTTTTATAAGATATGTAATACTTCAAAGCTTGGGAAGAAAAAGAACAAAAAGATATTTGTTCCTTGCCTAATAAGTTTTCGCAAATATTTTAAACCATTTATGTAGTTAATGTAAAATGTTTATCTTAGATATGAAATATTTATCGAAAAATAGTTTTTAAAGAAACCAAACAAATCATAGGAAATCTTAAGACTAAAATAAAATAAAATTTTTTTTATTATAAACAAAGGATAATTTCTTCTATAAATATAATATAGTATTTGAAAGGACTTTTTTAAACCTCTTACTCGTGTTTCTAAGGATCTTCTAAAACCTTGTTTTAAATTTTTATTTTTTTTTCCTTCAATCGGACTCATCATCCTTCTCGTGAGTTTATATAAGTTAAGCATGGAAGATAAATGTCTTCACCTTATTTGGATTGATGC